ACAGGGGGAATAAGTCCATTTTTTTCAATGCCATTGTAATTTCAAATGGTCACTAAATGAATTGTTGTAAGTCGAGGACTATCTGTATGCGGATCGAAGGATTTCAGCTTTGCCGTCTCATTCTGGCGTCTATTTTTTCCCCCTCGTTCTTGTTTCGAAGAGCTGTGATAAAAATATCATTGTCTTTAAAGCATGTCCAATTTTGTCCCTATTCAATTGTTAAGTCCATCCGCTGCAATAACTAATTTTGTTTTGAAATATCCTTACTTATAAACGACCTCTGAGGAGAGAATTAGGAGGAACTTTTGACATCGTGCCAGAGCCTAAAACTGAAGACTTTTTAAAGCCAGGGGAAGGAGAGTTTTAATTTAATTACTCAATCAATTAAAGCTTTCTCCTTGGGTGGATTTTGGCAGTGACTTTGGATAAATTTCTAAATAGATTTTTCCATTTTGAATTTCATTGTGGGCTCCCAGACAAACCCTGTCTACAGAAACTCCCATCTCTATCATCATGCGAGGAAATGAAATTAAGGCGGTTTAGGTCCATTGAGGGAAGGGTTTTTTTTTTTTTTTTTTAGGATAAATGTTATTTTGAAAACTGGAAGGATTTCATCAGCACGAGGCAAAGAATTATGATTTCCTTTTTTTTTAAAAAAAATCTATTTTTATTTTATTCCAAAAAACTTAAAATATACAACACCTTTTAAAAAAAAGAAATTTTTAAACACAAATGTCTTGGGAGAAAATAACAGGGAGGAAACTATTAAAATATTAAGATTGTTACCCTTTATTGTCATTTTTCTGCCCTAAACAAGGGCACACAGACACAATGAGAGCAAAAGATCTCCCTCCCTCCCTCCCTCCCTCCCTCTATACACACACAGACACACACACAAATACACATACACAGACACGTATCTTCTATCATATATCTATATAGCAGTAGACTTATATACCGCTTCATAGGCCTTTCAGGCCTCTCTAAGCGGTTTACAGAGAGTCAGCATATTGCCCCCAACAATCCGGGTCCTCATTTTACCCACCTCGGAAGGATGGAAGGCTGAGTCAACCCTG